CGCAATTTTGACCCACAGCCATACAAAGCCAATGACCGCATGCTTCAAACACGGCCACGGCCGCATGTCAGCAAGAGTGCTATGTCTCAACCTGCACGACTCCAGTCAGCCACAAATGGACCCTAACACTTTCCTTTAATTGGAAATTACCGCAGGGGTAGTTCGAGTTCAGGTGGTGGAGCGACTTTGCCGAAGACACAAACCATGGGAGTCTTGAGGCAATTGAACCAGCCGGAACACAAGAGCAAGGATACATCACCCTCCGCCCGAACAAATCCGCCGAACGCCAAGCGTCGCATTGGCATTGCCCGTGCCGCGAGGGGCGTAGGTATGCCGGAACTTCAACTTCTTGAGGCCTCGTGCGGAGCTGTCCTTCACCTCTTACCAACGCGCATTCGCGCAAGCAAGCTGGCTGAGTGGGTGGATTGGCCAAAAAGAACACCTATAACTGTTTCTTTACCGTTGGTCCAAACCCCTGAGTGGATCGGCCGAACAAGAAACACACACAAAAAAACAAAAACTTTTGTTAGTTGCCGTTAAAATGGTCCAAACCTGGCCCTTGGACTCGAAGGGTCGGAACCACTGGGAACGAGATAGGTGACACAACATGGCTTCTATCCAACTCAGGCGCTGGGCTCAAAGGTCAATGCAATGAAACTAACATACGGCGCTTGTTTTGTGCACGGAAATCTGTTCCGTCGACGAAATGGATGTGACCGCGCTCTGCCTGTTTACACGCCTGCCGATGCTTTGCTCACCGCTTGGTGTCCTTTTGCAATTTGTCCAGGAGGGCAAGCCAGGAATCCCGAAAGGGGGGCTGAGGGGACTTGACGAATGCCCTTCTGCATAAACACCCCCCTCGATATGCGGGACAGAGTGCGGGACAAAGCGCGGGACAAAGTGCCGGACAAAGTGCGGGACAAACTGCTGGACAAACAACTGTCCGGCAAGTTGTCCGGGGGGTTGTCCGGAGGGTTGTCCGGAGGGTTGTCCGCGCACTTTGCCGAGATTTATGCTGCAAACCCCCCTCCCGCGAGAATACTTCCCTCCGAGTGGTTTCCGAGTGGTTTCCGAGCAGTTTCCGAGTGGTTTCCGAGTGGTTTCCGAGTGGTTTTGGCGTGTTCCAAACCTGTCCGAAGACTTGTCCGGGGGTTTGTCCCGGGTTCTTGGGCCCTTAAACCTGTCCGGAGGGTTGTCCGGGGGTTTGTCCGGGGGTTTGTCCCGGGCTTTTGGGCCCTCAAAGCTGTCCGGAGGGTTGTCCGAGGGTTTGTCCGGGGGTTTGTCCCGGGCTTTTGGGCCCTCAAAGCTGTCCGGAGGGTTGTCCGGGGGTTTGTCCAGGGAGTTGTCCCGCCGATTTTGGGCCCTCAAAGCTGTCCGGAGGGTTGTCCGGGGGTTTGTCCGGGGGGTTGTCCGGGGCTTTAAGCCCGTTTGGACCCAAAATGTGAAAACAGGTGTTTATGCAGAACCGCCTCTGTCAAGAGGGGACTGCAGTACTGAAAGTCACCAAGACAAGAGAACAAATGCTGTTGCCTTTGCTAACCGTAGCAACCTGAAAGTTTAAACGAACATCTTTGATCCAGGTCCAACATATCGCTGACATGATGAACATCCTGCCGCAAAAAACTTGAAGCTTGTTAACTCAACAAGCCTTAGGTCAGTCTCTTGCATAGCCCAGGTTGCTCTAAAGACCCTGGAGGCGCAGACAGTTGGCAGGCGAAGGAAAACCAAAGCAACCCTTGCATGTTTTCCCTTAAGGATGTAAACATAGGTCACCTTTACAGAGCCTTATATTGTATAGACTAATGTCCAGGTCCTCCAGTAGAGGAGAGCTCCCCCAAAAAGGGCAAGAGGGCCTAGATGTTCGTCTACCCTTGTGGCGGCTCTTGCAGGCCACAAGCGCTTGGCTCCCGAGCTGGTGCTCCGTGCCAGGAACTCGCAGGCCGGCAAGAGGCAGCTGTCGAAGGGGACCTGACGTCGGGATGAAACCCGCTTAGGGGTACCTTCCATTTCCATTCTTTCCAGGCATCATTATTTCTACAAAACCACCCAAAACCCTGCGGAAGCAGCTGGTTTTTGAAAAAAACGATAGTTGAAAAGAATCGGGAATCAACCCCTCGGCCTCTTTGGCTCTCTGTTGGTTTTCCCTTTTGTCACACAACTCGCGCCAAACCTTTGGGGTGGACCATGTGAATTTTGAAGGAACCAAAAGGGGGTCAACTTGCCAATGACCCTCTTTGGCTCTCTGTTGGTTTCTTTGTTCACTTCAGCCACTTTGGTCACACACGCCCACTATGGGATGGACCATGTGAACCCCAATCAACGACCCTCTCGGAACCGACCCACTGACCAAAGGCGCCTGCAGCGTCTCGCCGCCATAGGTCAGCCAAACCGCGATGCAGGGCTCCACTGACATACCCAGCCTCAAATGCGAGCGAGGCATCTGGGCAAGCGTCCGGAGTTGACCGTGTCCCCAAAAGGGGAGGGACTACTCCAAAACCAAAGCAGAGTTTGTCACACCGAGAAAAGAAAGTTGAGGGTCTACCCTCAGCCAAAAATCAGGATTCGCTATAAAAACCAATCAATTTCTTCATGGGCGCTGCAGAGCCCCGAAACGTGATGCCGCAAGATTTGGTTCAAATGTGCAAACATCAGATCGATGTTAGTCCTCATGGACCCCTAGGGGCTATGCTCTATGGGGGGGGGGGGGGGGCTATCCCAAAGCTCAGGATAAGCCCAGAACAAGCCCTGAATGAGGCCTTGAGGGGTTGAGGGACAGCCCTCCCCATAGCCCCTAGTCCATGAGACCCTTCCCCCAGCTTCGGGTTGGATCAACTTCGGGGACCCTCAGGTACGCCACGAGCGGCGACGGAAGCCTCCCACGTACCCCCAAGAGGCGTCGCCTTCAGTCCGGCAATTCGCTTCACTTGAGCCACATTTGAAACTTGGTAAAGGAGACCCCGAAACCATGGCAAAGGATCAAAATGCTAGAAAGCTTTGGGATTTGGGGTGATCAACAGGGCACACGCTTGCAGTTTTGGCAGGGAAGCCATCATAACATCACCAAAAGGAGGACAAAGACGATTAAGAACTGTGATAAGCGGGATTCCAAACCTGTTGACAAAACATACCTTGCAAATGGTTTACATGGATCAGCTGAAGGGCAAATCTGATGCGCTTTGTCCTTTGGGTAAAATGGCCGTACGGCACCCTTCAATTCTTCCTCTAGGGGGGGAAGGGGCTTCGGCAGCCAATTTCCTTCCAACATACTTGCATGATTGGCATGGATCGGAGTCAGGCTTTATTGTAAAGCTAGTTATTTCTTTCTGCGCCACATGTGAACACCCGTAAGTTAGCGGGCCTTGCACTCTGAACCATGGAGGTGACAACTCGACGGCCTTTTGCTTGGTTGACGTTGGAAGGGGAGCAACAATTCTCAAATTTTAGCAGGTAAGTGGCTGGAATTCAACCACTAAAACCACAATAAGATCAAAAATGGGAAACATGTTTCCCAACAACAACCAAGTTTGGAGACCAGGTGAAAGCAATGCCAACTTCATACCTGGGATAACCCGATTCCAAGCCGCTTTCGGCACTGCTCCGCATAGGCTTCCGCCGCTTGGAACGCGCCTAGGCGTTTCATGACCTCATGTGGTCCAAGCGCTTTTCTTGGCATGGGTCAAGTTGGAAATACAGCTCTTCAAACAATTTCTTTTTAGGTGTCCTTGAGCGCCCTACCTCATACCTCGAAGACAACTCATGGGGTCACCTGTCACCCCGCCCCCCTCACCGCCCAGTGGCGTCCCAAACCGTGGAACCCTCCGGCACACTCCTTCTTTCAGCTGCCCCAAACCACCCCTTATCGCCTATCTGGGCCTATCGACCAGATAAGCTTTTAGCTGTTGCCGTTTTTTTGGTGGGATGGGGATTGGCTGCTCAATCATCCAAAGTAGAAGGCAACCATTGCCAACAAGAAGGATGACTCCCCAAAAGGAGTTTTCCCTACCAATGATGGCTTCGGGGATTCCATGTCAACCTACAGGGTACGGATTACCCTTCAGCCTACGAACAGTCATGCAAAGATACGCCGAAAAAAAGGAGCTAGTGCAATTACAGTATCTTTCTGTTTGTGAACCAGGATGAATAAAGGAGGGGATATCAAGATCAAAACGGCAGAAATGGGGCCATCTGTGGCCCAACTGTGTCTGCTGCAGAGCTCCAGGAAACTTCCAGCGGAAACCTTGAAGGTCGTGTCTGCAGCGGTATGCTCGGCCCATGGGCTCCGAAATCAATGATATTTTTTCTCCCTGCCCTGCCCTTCGTGACTGCCAGGCGGCCGCTGCCGTCGCCGTTCTCGTGCTTCGCGATTTGCTCCATGGCTACGCAATCCCTTCCAAAAGGCAATGACCGAGGTCTTGAGACTTCCCATTTGCTGATGTTGCTCGCGTCCCGTGCTTTGCGAGCCTGTCACTTGGTTTTGCTTCCTTCTCCGTACATGGGACTAACTTTGAGCTGGAAGGCCATGTCAAGTTCAAATCACAACCCACCGCGAGATGTTCAAATTCTTGCAGCGGTGGCACACCGAGGCACAAGAACGAATGCGCATTTAATGCACCCCAAATTACTCCAATGTAAATTCACATGGACTCTAAAAAAAGGGCTGCCCCCAACAGGGATCCCTCTAAATGTGCTTGCTTTTGGAAATCCATATCTTCACCTGCAGGCGAGCAATCTGATCTTCCGATTCATCTGCGGAACCATGCTAACCAGGGGTTTAATCCGCTTTTCGTGGGACAGCTATGTCCATTTATATAGGCGAATCCCTCCAATTCTCACTTGGCCACTGACCAGCCAACAAAAACGTGCACACTTTTTGGGCCACCACTCAAATAAAGGGAGACCCACCAAGGAAAAAGTGTTTTCAGTGCGCCCACATGGGTGAGAATTACTATGGTCCGGCAAAAAAATCAGTGACTTCGCCGCTGCAGCTCTGAGCTGGCCACTTCTCCTCATACTCCTGGAACTGCCTGGCTGCTTGGACTGGCTTTGTCGTTGCAGCCCGAGCTCTTCCCCCTATGGGGACGATGGGATGGTTGTCCCCTGACAGCTTCCTATGGCCAGCCAAGTAAGGCCGCCGAGCTATATCGACATGGGACGTCAACCGAACAATCTGCAGAGTCGGATGGCTGTGCGGTGAAGCAAAGGGTCAAAGTACGGGATCCGAGTTTGCGGCTCGGAGCCTTTCAACCATAGCCAACTCCGACTGCGACAGGTATTCCGCTGCACAAACTGCACTCCAAACAGCAGATCTTCTGATTTTCTCCATGAGTCTACCCCTCTGCGAAAAAACATCTGTCCTTTAACCCCGCAAAACCCCGCCCGCCGCCCGCCCCTCTGCGAAAAACTGTTCCGCCCGGAAATTCACCCCGGGGACCCCGGGCCGAAAAAAATCCCCCCCCGCCGCCCGCGACTTCGATTTTCCTTCGCGCCGAGGGGCGCTGCCAGGAGCGAGGGATCCCACTCCCTGGGGCCCTCCAGCTCTTCCAGCTGCCTCGGATCGGATCGGATCGGATCGGATCGAACGCCGTGGCGTGGCGTGGAAATCGGATCTGCCTTGGGCGCTTGGGTTTGGGGCGCTTGGGGAAACCCACGAGGCGCCCATGCGCGCCCCACCTTCCCGATGAAAATGGTGTTTTTTGCTGGAAGAGGTGGCATGGCATGGCCAAATAAAGCTCAGGTAAAGTTCGAGAGAGAGAGCTTGACAGAATGAGAAGGTGCTGTTCTACTTCTCCAGGACGCCGCACCCTTAAGACAGAAGCCCTTGAGCCATGGCGCATGGCCAGTGCTGCCACTTCTGCATCGGACATGGGCACCTGGCCACGTGCCCAGTGTGGGGTTTCTCCGGGCTTGCTTCCTGGCTGAGATGAACCAATCATGGTGGTTGAACCACAGAAACCTCGGTGAAACATCGGCTTCCCTGGTTGGTTCATGAGTCAATGAGATTCTTGAAGAAAACCCTATTAGGGAGCAACCCTGCAATCCAAATCCGTAATTCCTGTTCGACACAACGAAGAAGGGTACCCCGCTCGGAACCCAAGGTAAGGAGTAGCAAGGATTGTGGATGGGCACGGCAGCATGACAGGCTGCATTTGAGTTCTGTCTTGCCCTTCTGGGACTGTATCTTTGTCTGACTGCCTGCTGGATGCTGACACGGATGGCCTTCACCTAGAATTCAAGGAGCCTCGTGTCTTGAGGCAACAACTTGCAATGGATCAACTCTGCCACAAGGCAAAAGTGTAGCTTGGGCTTCTGCCCCATCTCTCTCCACACCTCACGGGATTTGAAAGGCTTTGCTCTAGTGGCGGGTGCGCTAGGTGAGTAATTCCCAAAACCGATTCAACCCTATGCGGGAAGACAGCGGAATGCTTGGGCTGCAGGCTGCAACATTGACGTGGCTCTGAATGAGAGCAGTTTTTTGCAATGCTGAAGCTGCGCCCTTGCTTGCCTGCCTTAATGCACCATCAGCGGTTCAACCTCCCTCCAGCCAGCCACCCAGAACGTAGCACGCAGCCACAAAATCTCACCCAGCGTGTTGGCCCCAAAAAGCACGGGCAGAAAGCATAGGCGGCCTTTTGGAAAAATTGTTGTCCCTGGTAAATGGTAAATGGAAGAAACCCCATCTAAACCAGTGCCATCTATTTTTCATCAACTAACCTTAAAAAAAGACACCTATGATATTGTGGCAGAAAGTCTCTGTGCCCCCCACCAAAATCTGAATTCGAAGGCGGTCGGCCTCCAGCAGCTGTCGTGCCAGCTGCTCATCCTCCGGCGCCTCGCACCGGATGGATTTCTGTCACGGCGTGCGTGCACTCCCATGCCGGTTCACAACTGATGGATTCTACTGATCTACCGAGGGCTCGAAACTCGACAAACCGAACACACCCTCAGCAATGCGCGTGTGCGGATGTGCGGAGGAGACCCTCTCATACTTATGGACTCCTTCCTAGAGTACTCTATCCCAAGAGCCGGAATCAGCAATGCCTGATGCGGTGTTGGCAAACATTCACCAAACATGGCCTTTGAAACGGTGACTGTTCGCGAAGCCTTCCGGTCTTTGAGTCTCGAAGTGTCATGAGCTGAAGTGCCCTACGTTACCCTCTCTCCAATCGTGGAAGTGGGCCATTGCAAAGCAACCATGTTGATTTAGCAGAGTTCCTTGAAGCATACATCCCAACACCACCTGTTTTACAGGGGTATCCTCTAACTCAGCTTCTCAAGGTGATTTTTAAACTGGCCATGTGGCTGTGGGTCAAAAACCAATGGTACCATTTTGGGGTAGGTGCACCACCCACGGGATTTTGACCCATGGCCATGTGTCCTTGAAGTCCCTGTGTAAAACAGGCCCTCGCACCTCAGAGGAGGAAGAGGCTGTGCCTATTGCTGTAGATGCGCTCGAGGTACTATGGCCTGCTAGACGTCCGGGAGGCAAAATATGATTCCACCGGGTTCTACCAGGGTTCCACCAGCGTTCCACCCCGGGTTCCACGAGGTTCTGCGAGGGCTGCGGGGTGGTGCGAGCACTAAAAAGAGCACCGCATGCTGTTGGGGATATCACTTGAGCTTATAATTTTGTTTAGAGGGGGGGGGCATTTCTTTTTGGGGGTGACATGGTTGACCAAAAACCAGTGAACAGCCTGCCAAACGAAAAGGGAAGGGTTCCGTGGAGCAACTTGGTCTCTTGGAACTAAAACCATGGTACAGCAAATGCAACAGTTCCTTGTGGTTCCTGCAACCAAAGAGAGATGACGCATTAAAGCAAAACAGCTAGCTAAAAGGACAACGTGAATCAATGAAGCACGTTTCTTATGAAGTGTCAGCCTGTATGTCAAGCTCACTAATTGTCAACTGGTAGCAGCACCCCGCAACAACTGCTTTGCCCCATGTCCAAATTCCTCGGTGGTTTTCTGCTCCCCTGCTAAACGTTTAACTTCTAGTGGTTCAATGGAATACCCATTCGCTGGCAACAAGTTCAAGTCCTAACATCCAGCAAAATGCATCAAAGAATCCCAAGTACTGTCCAAAAGTGTCAGGACACCAGTGCCGGTAAGCTTCCCCGTGCCTTCCGACTTCCAGCGCCCTGGCAGCGCGTCGAACCGAAAATCAGGGGACCCGTCAAACGGGTGCCAGCTTGCACCAGAGGACTGGTCATGCATTTTAGCATGCTAGAACCCAATTTGTCGGAACCCATTTAGAGTCAACCAACCAAAGAAGGAAACTTCACAAAGACAAACATCTGGGTATGGCCGGGTCTTGAAGGGGGCATAACACAAGGACTCACAGCCCACTGGTCAGACTGCTCTCGAGGCAGACCAAGTTAAACTTCCTGATGTCTGTTAAACAAACTTCCAAAACAAAGGGATGTTGAAGGCGTACCCGCAACAAAAAAACAAAACAGTTGGGGCTGGTCTGACAAGCCTCACCTCCAGATTCAGGGATAGCGGCCCTCCTGCAAGTCTGACGATTTGAGCAGGTTTGTTTTCTCTTGTCTTGCTAGCTTATTTGCATTCTGCCACTTGTTTTTTCTCTTATCTTTCGTTTCTTTCCACTCCTTCTTCTCTGCACCATCCATCCATCCATCTACACCTCTTCAGCTCGCACCCATTTCTCCGCTGGCGCGCCCGATTTGTTTCCTCCGCCCAACTTCCTTCCGGGGTGAAACGACCGCTCCGCGCCTTCGAGCGGAGGGTCGAAGGCGCGCCGGCGATGAGCCGCCTATTTCAGCATGGCCCTTTGCGCCTCCAACTCTTGCCGCACGTACTTGGTGAAGCTGGCTTTGTCCTGAGGCTATGCGCCGCTTGGTTGCTGCAACGACCCCTCTGCAAACAGTGAATAAGTTTATGGGAGGTTTAGTTGGAAACACCTTGATTCCCCAAAAAGTTGAAGTCTAAAGACCCAACCCAATAGCAGTCAAGGCTTGGAGTCCGGATGCCGCATCCAAGAGGATATTGAAAGCAGTACAAGAAAATACATCCGGAAGATGTTCGGAAGGAACTTGCAAAAGCACATTCACCCTGAGAATGCAACAAGACTCCTAGACAGTACTAAAACAGCAACAGGGCGGGAATTGCAGGAATCAAGTTTTCTAGATATGCAGAAGAGGGCTGCAAAAGGGACTGCCAAGTGAGACGGCAGAAATACAGGCTGCGCATATCAGTTTTGACGTTTGACCCTTGGCACAAGGCCGACCTTCAGTGACATGGTCATTCTTAGCTGGCTGCAAGGGTAGCAAGTGGCAAGTGACCAAATTGCAAAGGATCAACAGCACAGGTGGCCTTTTAGGGGAAATAGATGGCCCTGGTAGATGATTAAACCACCAGGTAAACCAGTGCCATCGATTTTTCTAGCAAAACAACCAAAAAGGACACCTATGATCAACAGAAACTGTGCCCAACCTTCAGGGGCGTTTAACGATTGCGGCGGCAATTGTTTTTTGTTTTACTTCTCGCGATGCTTCTGCTAGCATTCGTTGGACAAAGGTGAGGAATTACATGAACACTACCAGGTAGATATGATCTCGTAGGTGCGACCCTTGATCAAGCCACTTTGCCTACCGCAACGGGGTAAGCGAAGTCTACATGATGGGTGCTCAGCTTTGCTCTCCTTGAAAAGTGGTGCATGAATTGACTAAGGGGGAATCCAAGCAACAGCTGCAGATTAGTGGAAAAACGGTCAACTCTGCTGCAGACCAGCACTAACGCAGCATAACGCAGCATACTCAAAATTGCAGAGTCAACGCTGGCGCAATAATACAGAGACCAGCCTCAAAAAAGGTACTAGCCACTTTCCCAGACCCAGCCCAATGCTCAGAACTCGCCCCGCATAACCGGACTGGCACGCGCTCCGATCGATCGATCACTCCTGGCTGTGGCTCAAAAAACCGGAATTCCAAAATGGGTTGCCCTGGTAAGTGGAAACCTGCGCCCAAACCTGCGGCTTGCCCCTCCGATCGTTTGATTTTGAGCCTCCGCGCCTCCTGTTGCTACGACTTTCGCACGCCAAGCGTCCAGCTCTGCCAGCTGATGCCACGGCCTCGTCTTCAGCTGCTCCTCACTGAGCTCCGTGACCCCCAAGGCCCGCAGCGTCTCCGTCATCTTGGCGGCGCTGATGGTGCCAGTCCGCTCCTGTGAGCGTGATGGGTACCCACTTCAGGTTGGCCTAAAGCAAAACCATGGAGAAAGCCGGCGTTTTTGGGTCCACGATTTGTGGACGTTTGATACATACCCTTTTCTGAACAAAAAAACCGTTCTGAATGAATGGAGTTTCAGAGTAACCCACAAATCGGTTGAAATGGCACTGCCACGCTTGTGGCGATATCCATTTGTAAGAGCAGCTTCTGGGTCCGGGTGCTCTCTGAATATTCAACTGGGTTCCAATAGCAGGGATCCTTACATTATACACCTGAACATTGCCTTGTAAATGGTGGTTTCCCATTATTTTGGTGGAAAAAGCCATGTTTCAAATGGGCAACATGTATCTTTTAAGGAGCCCTGAATGGTTTTCTAACTTAGCGACTTCAGTTCCGGCCCGGAGAAGGTAAGCTTCTTTGGGCTTTCGGGGATGCTAGCTCAGAAATAGAGGGAACACTCACAACCTTAGAAGTGCACACACCCTTTTGCAAGACGGCTCTCCCCTTAAGGGGGCCGGAGGAAAATATGCTTGTTCGTGCAAGGGACATGACTTTGCCGCCATACTTTGCCAACGTGTGATACTAACTTTGCAGTTTGGCAACTTTGGCGTTTTTATGGAACATTGATGTGCCTCTCTGAGGTATCAAAGGCATAACTATCACTAGCCATTGCAATTGCCAATTGGTAGTTAACAAAGTTCCCCTGCACTCTCAACAGCAAGCCCACTCAGCACAAAGACAGGGTCAAATCTCCCACAGTCTCTTTCTCTTCGGGAACTGACCTAACTCTTCGACCGCCACTCCTCATCCCACATGTCGAACATGGTCTGGACATCCTCCTCTGTGAACAGCCCCATGCCTCGGTTCAGAGGAACCGCTCCACGGACTTGGTATGTCACAGAAAGTTGGAAAGTTGTCCCCTGGAAAAAAGGAACAACCAAAGGAAACCAAAAGACCGTCAAGCCTTGTCCTACCCTTGTACGTGTTTGTTTCAACCAGAACCTTCGGACGAGAAACACCGGCTCCCACAGGGCTGCCGATGTTTCCCCTGCAAAGGGAAACTCAGAGGCTGAACACCAAGCCACGGAACATATGGGACCCCAGAAAAGGAACAAAGAACGACGCGTGCTCATCCATTTAGATTCCCTTTCTCAGTTCCTGAATTCTGAATGGATTGGCAAAAAACAGTCCTAACTTCATATTACCAAAAAGATCGTCGTCCAAAAGGCTTAAAGTCCAGCACCTCTTGTGTGCGGGTTCCTCCGTTCCGGCCCAGGGGGTGACCACGGCGAAAGTTTAAAACCACAGCTCAGGAAGTGAGCTATAACTTGGGCTGCCCTCAGAGCCCGCGCTAAAAGTTTAACTTTTAGTGGCTCAAATGGCTGTGGCTCAAAAAACCGGTACCAAAATGGAACCCTGGTAAGTGGAAGCATGGACCAAAACCTGCGTAACCCCTTCTGTTTAATTTTGAGCCACACCCAAATGGAAAAAAACACTTAAAGGGCGAAAAAGCTCAGGGACCAAATGGCTGGGAGCCACCAAGTTTAGCAAACCCCCCGGCAAAAGCTGCGGCTGACCCAAAAACCCCACGCGCGCCGACTTTCTTCGCCAAGGCGCCCGGGGCCTTCCCCTTCAGCTCCTTCAAGGCCTCGACTAAGAACTTCCGCAGGTCTGGGGGTCGTTCCAAAGCCGCCTGCGCCAGCAAGCTCTGCCTCAGCAAAGCGAGCAAAACGAACCTGGCAAACCCAAAATGGTGTTTTTGTTGTTTGGTGTGTGTGTGTGCGCGTGTTTTTGTTTTGCTTTTTGTGTGTGTGTGTGTGTTTGCTTGCTTGCTTGCTTGCTTGCTTGCTTGCTTGCTTGCTTGCTTGCTTGCTTGCTTGCTTGCTTTCTTTTTTGCTTGTTTGTATCTTTGATCCTTTTGTTTGGTCGGGTCGGTTGGTTGTTTGGTGGCGTGTTTCTGTATTTATTTATTTACTGCATGTATGTTTCATTTATTTAGATATGTCTTTCTTTATTTCGCTAAATATCTATTTATGTGCTTCTTCACTTAATTTGTTGTGTGTTTGATGATGTTTGCTTTGCTAGCTGCTTGATTGCTTGCTGGGTGGCTCTTACTTGCTTCCTTGCTTCCTTGCTTGTTTGTTTGTTTGTTTGTTTGCTTGCTCGTTGTTTGAAGGTTTTCTTTTCAGAATGGTTTTGAGGGACACTGGCAACATATAGGCAAACTATCGTTTGTTTGGGTCCTCCAACTAATGAAACATTATATGCATTCTTGGTGTCCAACAGGAAATGTGTTAAACCGAAAGCTAACCCCTAACCTGCAAAATGAGGGGTGGCCACCTGAGTGGTGTCCTTTATTTCCTTCTGATTCAGTTGAAATTATTCAACCTTCTGCCGACCTTTCCGCGCGGCGCTTCCGCGGGCAGCAGGGGTACCTTCCGCGAAGCGCTTTGTTAGAAAAATTGCTTCCGCGAGCTTCCGCGGAAGCTGAGTTTACAGCATTGATAGTCATTTCGATTCCGCGATGACAGTTTTGGCAAAGTTTTCGAGCCTCCTTTATTGGAACACATGTGAGTGTAAGCCTCTTGGAAGAGGGTGAGCAGCAAAACATCCCAAATTGGGAATTCTAGAGGTTCCAACACAAAGATTGCTTCACTTTGACTGCATTCGATCTTTTGGGAACATGCAAAATGAGAGGTTACCACCTCTTTCACCCAGAGTGGGTTTCGAATTGACTTAAGCCCTGTTTAGTTAAAGGAGGTTTAACCTGGAAATGCGCCAACTGTTTGGAACCAAAACAGGACATGTGTTTGACCTTCTTGGCCATTTGGAGCGAACATGGACTACGTCCCGGGCTGTTCAACATGGAGAGTTGGCCACCACCACACAAACTTCCGTAACTCTGCTCAAGGGAACGATTTTGCGAATAGCTTTAAACACCGGCCAAACGGTCGGTCCATCCGCGTGACTTGCCTAAGGGGCTTTGCAGAAAACTGCGAAACATGTTCCTTTCCCTCTTGGCTTCCAAGTGAAAATCAAGCAGAGCAAGTATGTGCCACGCGGTTGCAGGAGCTGCGGGATGGAGTGCTTCTCCAGGTACGCGTTGGCTTGGCTCAGCCCAATGTGGTGCTCCATGTCGGACATCCCGGACAGGCCCGGGTCGCGGGTCGCGGGTCGCGGGGCCCGTGGCGTCTCGAGCCAAATTCGCTGGTTCAGGGTCATGGCGCAATCTTGTTTGAATCCAAAGGTAGACTTAGACCCAGGAGTGGTTGATTTCCCCAAAAGGGAAACCCGAGTTTGAGTTTCCATGTTGCCCGCCAAAGGGATCCAAAGGGAACGCATCTGGGATGGGGGTTGCCCAAACGTCCCCTACAAACATCAATTTCTCAGAAGAAACTCAGCTAGACACTGTCCCAACAGGAAAGGGGAAGAAATAGGAAAGCCATAGGTTTGGTGCAGGATGCAAGTGGGGGGGGGGGGGGAATCTGACATGAGGCTTGCACAACAGACCTGCCTCACTGAGTCCCTCGAATTTGTGGGTTACTGAGTCCCCAATGTTCCTCCCAAGAAATCCATAGACTGCTGGATATGTTGCCCAAACCTCGCATCACGCGTGCCGCCCATTTCCTGAAAGACCTGCGGCAAACCGCGCCCGCCTGTCTCCGGGCTGGCCTCTTCAGGCACAGCCTGAGCGCCAAGTCCAGCCAAGTGGCGCAAACCCCCACCAGCTTCTCGCACGATTGCTTGGGCAGCATCTAGTTGCAGGTTGCCACTGCGGGGTGCTGCGTGGGCATCACCAACATCATTCGCATTTGCTTGGCAGCGTTGCAGGTTTCCAACCTCCAGGGTCACTGCAGGGTGCTGCGTGAGCATATCCAGCATCATTCGCATTTGCTTGGCAGCATCTAGACTTGCAATGTTGCAGGTTGCCAACCTCCAGGGACCTTGTGGCGTGCTGCATGGGCATCACCAGCATCATCATCTTCACGACTGCTTGGCAGCGTCTAGGCTTGAAATGTTGTAGGTTGGCAACAGGCTTGACATCCTGCAGGTTGCCAACCTGCAGGGTCATTGCGGGGTGCTGCGTGGGAATCACCAGCATCCTTTGCATTGTTGCTTGGCAGCATCTAATTGAAATGCTGCAGGTGCCAATCTGCCGGATCAGTGCATGGTGCTGCGTGGGCACCACCAGCATCATTCGCATGATTGCTTGGCATCATCCGGCAAGGACTGTGCAGGTTGCCAACCTGCAGGGTCATTGCGCGTGGGAATCACCAGCATCCTTCGCATTATTGCTTGGCATGGCCATGCTTTCCCATAGAAACCAAGAAGCAGATCTTTTGAGTTTTGTCCAAAGCTCTGTTGGCGCGAAATCCTGTTGACTGAGCCTGGGTTCATTTCAGCCCCTCAAACCTGGGCTTCCGGCGCCACTCATCAGCAGCAGCTCGGCGGCCTGTGGATGATTCGAATGCAACGGGGCCTCGCTTTTCCCAGCTGATTCGGAAGATCTCCGGGAAAGCAGGTGGTTTACAAGCGAGTCATCTTTCTGAGTGTCCGGTAGGGACTATGTTGGACGAAATTTGAAAGGAATGTGGGACTCTGACCTGCTCCGAAGTCCCTCCAAAGATCTCCAAAGTGGGACCCCTTCGCTTAGAGCGCCACCCAAAAGGTCCCATGCTCCATGTACAAGAGCCCACCCAACAACTAAAAAAACATGGACGGGAACCGGCCCTTCATCCAAACTAGCTTCTGCAGGCGTCACTGATTTTCCCCGCTGACTGTGTTGTCCATTGAAACTCCCACTTCTGGAGGTGGAACAAGCGGCAAATCGGGGGAGCCCTGTTGTGCGTTGCTTTGTGACTCTGCTTTATGGGGGCCACTTCCCAGGCATGCACCAATTCCGTCGGGCAACTCTTGAAACGGCTCAGGAGTAGCGGGCGATGGGAACCCAGCTTGCTGTTCAATAGTAGAGTCTGAATTTGGGAGTGTCCTATTTCAGATGTGATCCTTCGCATATTTGGGTCTTGGGGGACAAACCCCTCTGTTGATCTGGCTAAAACCCTCCAGGTTGTAGGTAAGAACAGCAATTGCTTGTTAAGAACCCATTTGCCAATTGCTCCCCTGCCAAATCATTCGTGCTGTCAGTCCGCCGGGTGGATCAAATCGGGGTAAAAACCGTGCCTTGTCCACATCTCCGTGGCTGCCCTGCAGTGCCACTAACGCGTCGGCACGAGCAAAGCCCAGCTGTTGCAGCGCTAGGAGCTCCTCTGGGCCGTTTCGAGGGTTATATCGGTGTCTCTCATGACTGTTTCGGACTGGGGGAATTGTTGTCTCAGGATTTTGGGGACACGGAAATTCTTGGATTTCATCAAGGACCCAAGTCAAGGGGACCTGGCTTTCATGAAGGCCAAACGTCACCCTATGGACAATCGGGCTCAGGAATATCCGACTTCCCAGTTTCCGGTCCTTGTCCCAGGAGCCTTTCTCTGCCTGCGCGCCCAGGTGTCGGTCATGCAGCATGCGGCCCAAAGCCGGCGACGCCTCAGCGCCACGGCCGGTTTTTCTTCCTGCGGCTTGGTCCCCTCAAGTGAAGGATTGCAGTCAGCCCACAACTCATCAAGCGGGGTAAGCATGAATCTTCACCGCATCTTGCCACATGACAGCCGGCAAACGGTCCGGCTGTTCCAACATGGGGGTGTTGAAGCTTCACGTGGGAACTTTCTGTGGACATCATTTAGGTGCGGATGAATGTCCACTAACGGCTTTTGAGGTGGCTCCCTCTGAACATTTATGGCCATATATTTTGGTAAGCCTCCTTAACCTTAGGAACGATGATTGCACTGTGAACAGTAAATGAGGGCCGGCCGAAACGCTGACGTGAAGAAATCATGGGGCTGCGGCGAGGGAGGGGAGGGGAAGGGAGCCCAAGTAAGCCGTTAGTGAGCCCTTATTATATAATCTGCCTTTGGGTCCGGTCTAGACGGTTGAGGGACATCTTCGGAGAATAAGTCGCAAAAAACAGGGCCGCGCGACCTCCATGGTCTCGGGGTCTGTGATGGTCTGCCACATGCCCTTCCTCACTTGCCCATTAGGAACCCACCAATACAAGGCCGACCTTTTGGGGCCTTGACTTGAAATAGGAAAACCAAAATGGAAAAACCAAAAGGTCAACAGGTCGATTCGCTACTGAGCTTCTTCTGCATCTCGTTGGGGTAAAAGAAGACCACCAGCGTGATTCGCCCATCGGAGATCTCCGGCATTACGGGCACTCCGTGCCTCGTCGGCTTTCAGCTAATGACCCCGTCCACTGCAATTTGTCCAAACCAGCGCGCTGGACATTCTAAAGGAACCCTCTGGTTTTGGTGGATATGTCGCAAATGTCCTGTAGCAAATTTATTTCTATGACTCTACCAATGCCTAGAACCAATCGTAAGATACACTTATGTAGGCCCCGCACCAGTAGTGTTTCGTTCTTTTGCAACTCTATTTACTTCAAGGCTCCTCTGCGTTCCAAAGATACACAGGTCGCCATCCTGCATCAGCAGCGGGGTGTTGTCAATAGTGAGGATGCGCTCATGGCCGAAACTGAAGAGAGCTGTCCAGCAATCGTGGCGGTGGCTCCCCAAGTATCCTTGACCATCCGGATACCAGTTTGTGATGATGCCCGATGTCCTGCCACCAGGACTCCCAAGGCAAATGGCCGCCCAAAGTAGTCACTTAACAAACCATTGAGAGCTGTTGGGGGTCCTGGAATCTGCTTGTTGGCTCACTGTTTGCCAAGGCTCGCTCAATGCAGAAGTGGCTTGTGTCATGTCCTGTCAGCAATGCCATATTCGACAAAGAGCTTCTGAATCGCCTTGTCCATAGCAGGCGACAGTCCTCAGCAACACCAATGTGCTCATTGCGCGCTCCTTAGAACCATGACCTGTGGAGAATTCTTCAGGTCGAGCCACGCGAATCTCCGGGCAACTTTGCTCCCAGCTCAACAATATGCTTGACAGCAACTTTCTAGGGGACACTTCCCCATTCTTTCCAGGGATCCTTCTTTCCACAAAACTATCAGAACCCAAGGGGAAACAGCTGGTTTCTGAAAAGAACGATGGTTGAAAATAATGGGGAATCAACCCCTAGAAACATGTTTGCGCGAGCTGCTTCCAGGCCCGGTCTGCACAGTCTGCATGCCCATGGCGCTCAAAGTGGGCCCTCAAGTCTCTGAACTGCTCAAAATTGCGTCTAGTGAAGAAGTCACCCAGAGCGTTTGACCTCACCTCACGTGTAAACCTGACATCTAGTTGGCGGTTTCCGCTCAACACAAGGGGCCACTCATCATATCCCCAAACAATATGACTCGTTTCCCGAAAAGACTCTTTTTGTTTCCTTGGTCTTTCTGGGAAATTCGGGTTGTCCCGCTATACCCCCCAAAAGCCAGCAGTAGAAAACAATATCGATAACAATGTCAGTTGCTTGTATGGGGGCTGGGGGGGGGAGGGAGGGGGGGGGGAGGGAGCCCAAAAACCTCCCCCTCCCCTCCCTCCCCCCCAGCCCCCATGACTCTCTGCTGCCCGGGTGCCGGGTTTGTACTTGCCCGCTTGGTGGCCTTCCCATCGGATGTTGCCGCGCTGGTCATACTTCAGGTGGTAGGCCCCCGTGGCGAAGTCACGGGTGCGCGCATTGTTGGGCTTCCAGTCCGTGTTGTTGAGGATCTCCTCCTCAGCGCGAAGCTCGTCACCAATTTATCTGAGGGTGGCAGTACATACCCCTTGTTCATACCCCTTGGCTTCCGCGGTTTCCAACGCGCTTTATAAGGGGTATATACCCATTTTGGGGAGAGGGGTATGAACATCAGCAGCGGTATGTAAAAGGGGTATGTACAAGCACCCCTGGAATTTAGTATGCCGGCATGAATTCGACTTAGGCGCCCTTGGTGGACGTCGACCGACCAGTTTTGCAGTGAAACCCACGTTCAATTTCATAGCAATTTGTGCCACGGCTTCTGAAAGGATCAACCGCATGTTCAGGAGGGTTGCCTGGAGGTGTAGAGCTTAACTGCTTTTTAAATGCATAAATACATATATATATATATATGTATATATATATACATAGATTATATATATATATATGTATCAGAAACAGATGGTTAAGCGCACAGTAAGACGATAAACTTGTTTGGCAACGCACCCAAATATCTTGCTTCCGCATCGCTGTGGTTGGTTAAAACTATGTAATTGGTTCGCGAGCAATGGTCATCCTTCAGTAAGCCAAAGGTTAAAGTGGCGAGCAAAGCGGAAACGCTCATGTCCCATTCAAGTTTGTCTCAACATCGGTTCCCTACACGGACACACGCATTTCAGGTGGGCGTCATAGATGACTGGATCATCCGCGAATTTCCGCTTGACCTCCACATCCCGCCACCAGGTAGCGACATCCGCCGCCGACTCGTCCGTCATGGTGGCCCCATTGGTAGAGCCAACGCCACGCGCATTGCGACCCATGTCCTAGTCTCTTGGTGGAATTCCCTTGGACGCTCAAACCAGCTTCTCCTTAGTTGGTGGTTTGGAGCCCGGTGGTTTGGTGGCGAGGGAGTGTGGTCAACTCCCAAACCAATCCAAACCACCAATTAAGGGTATCCTGATCAAGGACACTTCATAGCCTACAGTGTTTTCTTTCTTCATGTTAGCCAACAGGTTGCCTCACTGTGACAAGTGGGTATGAGCTACTCCCCTGCAAACTATTAAGGCTTAAACAGGCGTCCGCCGAGGGGGAGTCAAATGTGAGGTGCGGAAAAGACAAAAAGAAAAACGCTTCTTATCCATGGCGTTGTGGGGTCTTTCAAGAGTTTGGGACATGTGCCCAGTTTAGCTAGTGGATTCAAAGAATACGTGTCCCCAAGGTTTTCCAGATATGCACCCTGGGCAAATCAGTCGTTCGAAGCCAAGAATATCAGGAGGATCCTTGCAAACCTTCCCGCCTTGGTGAGGTACTCGTGCACACCCCAAGGCCTCGGGATTTCCTTCGGCTCCTGGCCAACACAAAGCAGGGACCACGCTTTTAGCAGCGAGGCTGGCCACGTGCCTTCACAGAGGTGGTTCCTGGTCCTTCAAACGGCATCTTCAAACACCCCAAGCAAGCAAACAACCAAACAAGCAAACAAAAGGAAACAACCTAAAACCTAGGACTTGTGACATTCAAGAATCACTGCTTTGGAACCTGGGCGAACCAAAAAGAATCACACACCTAATAGCGTGTGATCGTGTTCTCTTTTTGCGCCGTGGGTATCCAAAACGCACAAAATGTTGGCCACCACCATGTGTAGTCTGGACCTGTCGTTCTGTTGAGGCCGCCAGCTCGAGCCTTGACTAAAATGATGATCAGGACTTGGCGAAAAAGCGTCAAGTGCGCCAACCGAATTGGTCTGGGTGAATTACAGTATTTCACAAACTTGAAACAAGGTGGTTGGGGGGCTATTCCCCACATAAACCACGGGGTGAGGTCGTGTGAGGTCGTTATAGTTCACCCAGATTGGTAAGAACCAGGTTTTCCTCTCCACGAATTGGTGGGAATCCAAGCGCCTTCTGCCACCACTTGGCCACGAAGCGCTCGGAACGGCCCAGCGCTTTGGCGATCGCCGCCTTCTCCATGCCCTCCTTGCGGAGGTGGATGCTGCGGAGTCGGTCCTGGTACTCCTCAAAGCTTCAGGCAGCCACACCAACAAATGGACCTCCAGGGGAAAATCGTGTCCTAGCCAACAAATAAATGAACCTCCTGGGGAAAATCGTGTCTTAGCTTCCAACCCCGAAATGAGATGGTTTGGATTAGGGTAAAACAAAAACCTGCAGGGGAGGAAAAGTGTCTTAGCTTCCATCCCCGAAATGAGATGGTTTGGATTGGGGTAAAAAAACTTGCAGGGGAGAAAAAGTGTCTTAGCTTCCAACCCCGAAATGAGATGGCTTGGATTTGGGTAAAAAAACCTTCAGGGGAAAATCGTGCAAATGGCCCCATTTTGGTTGGTAGGTGCACCACCCATTTTAGAACCTATTTTAGTGGGGATGGCCAAATGGACCTCCAGAAAATCTTGTCTTACCTTCCATCCCCGAAATGCAAATTTGGTTTACAGGGGTGACCTACCTTCAGGGAACAAGTTGAACAAGTAATAGAGGTAACATACGGTTGCACATTCCATTTTTCACTCGAGGAGCGGTTGGGGATCTCTTCTAATCTTCACTTGCCCGGTCAAAGTTGAACAAATGGGTCTGGTTTTTTGAGGCCACTCCTTTGAGTATTTTTTTGTTTATGGGCCAAAAGGCAGACAACCATTTTGCGGAGTTCCCCTATTCGGCTGTGGGTCAAAACCAATGGTACCATTTTGGGGTAGGTGAATTCACCACCCATGTTAGTCGATCTTTAGTGGGGATCGGGATGTTCACTGGGGGCCCATGGCCATTATGAGGCCAACCTATCTCACAATGCCGGTCCGTCCTTGTGGCCCTCCGAGGAGTTCTGGGAGAAGATGCCCTCGGTGGCGAAGTGGGCCTCGTCAAAGTCCGTGACCTCGGCCGCAAAAAGCTGCGCTTCGAGATGGAAAACAGACTAGGGGCATAGGTGGCCTTTTGGAAAAATAGATGGCCCTGGTAAATGGGATAAAACCCACCTAAACCAGTGTCATCTATTTGTTTGCCAAACAAACCTAAAAAGGATATCTACGAAGAGGGGGCTAGATGCAAAAATAGGAACCAGACGGAAATCAAACGCGGGGCTAGAATTTCGATGGAAAAACAGGGGTTTATAAACAGGGGGACTTTTTTTTAGGGCCCAGCAAGATCGAGTTTTAGAATTTCCCCAAGAAGCTGCGCAGAAGACTTCTAAGCTGCCCTTTCTGCAGGGTGGGGGGACTATGTCGACCTGTGTCAATGCTGTTTGAGGTCCGGCTGCACAATGGCCTTTGAATTTCCAGTTTCATGGGCGTGCGACCGCCCAACATGGTTCACAAAGATCAGCCAAGTTCGACAAATCAGGTACCAAGGAGACCACTTGCTGTGAAACTCTTGGGAACCCCTTTTAAGGCAACAAAGTGAAAGAACAATTGTCTGCAGCCTCTACATGGCGGTTTGAAGGGAAACTTTCGCACAAGAAACATGTGGTTTGCGTTTGTAGAAAAAACTGCTTGCAGCAAAAGAGCCTCTTCTTTGCCCCGGAACTGCATCCACTTGTAGGTTCGTAGCACGCGCCGCTCTCCTTCCGCTCGCCTCGCGTGGGGATTGAAGTCATGACAACGAACCTAAGACAAATAAGAAGGAAGCTGCATAAATTGCACAAGTGCTCTTAAATAGATGATCTAGCTACGGGACCTAGCAGGCCTGAGGCGGCCAAAAGCAGAGTTGAGTTGAGCATCCTGCTCTTCAGATGAAAGCGGAGCAGCAAGCAACCACAAACCGTGACCCAGGAAGCCAAGAGCAAACTAGTCCTCGCATTTAACAAGGGGCCTGTGCTTAAACAAGCAAAACGTGCAAACACACCGCGCATCTGCAAAAGTCCGAATGAATTTGAGCCCCTGAAAGCCTGGTCGAACCCGCCGACCTTTGGTGCACCAAAACGACCCCAGCAACCCGTACCCCAGCAATCAACTCACAGGCGGGTGACCTCCCCACGCCAAAGGCTTCATCCAGCCGTTGCAGCGGCATGGCGCTAAGTCACTAGCGGCGTGCCCCGCGCCTTTGAGAAATCTGAGCTACCTGGCTGGAAGCCCTGCTCGAAGTTCAGGTCCAATGCAGCCAAATTTCGGCAGTGGAACCAAGTGCAGTGAGCCTGCCTAAAGGTGTGAGCTTCCAACGCTTGACGCCTTTGTCCTAAAGATGTCTGGAAAGGCCTCAACTTGCGCGAATCCTCAACTTGCTGAAGCCACTCATGGTTCAAACAGGCTGGCGCAAACGTCGCGCAAATGAGGAGCTTCGCACGTATACCGAGCAACGCGCGGCACCCATGAGCCGCAGGCGAACCAAAACGATGCGGCGAATGCCCATCAATCGCGCATGATTTACTAGGCGCAATTTAACACGAGATCGCGCTGTGACTTGCGTATGGGACCACGCGGCCCCTGCTCAAATTGATGCTCCTCCTCTAACATGGCCCCAGTCATCTTTTGGTCGCCCCCTTCATGGCGGGCCTCTCGAAATCACGGAACCCCCGAATCAATGTCTGACAGGAAAACCAAATGGAAATGCCCAAGGGTCCCCAATTTTTGGAGGAACCACCTCGTGACTTGCGCTGCGCACTCCGCACCGCTACCAGGAGGGTGCGACCTGTGCTAAAGCCGCATGACGGTCCAGGTTGAAGCCTGCCAATCCTCGGTGCTGCGCCCGAAATGGACAATTCAAGGGAGAACATACCTTTCAACCGGATTGTGGTCCACAAACCGCTGGCTGGAAGAAGCTTAGACTGCAAATGGGAGTCCAAACTGCAAAAGTGAGTCCAAACACAAAATGCAACCTCTGTGAATTGGATGTTGCTCAGGCGCAATCGGGCCCCTGGCGTACTGCGAGCCTTGCGGTTGACGCCTGCCACGTCAAAGCGAGGTGGCTGGAACTGCATCTCAGGATCCGACATTGTGGCAACACGTGACCCTCCCCCCCCAACCTTCTTCCTCTGGTGCCAACAACACCAACACGCATGGAGAAGGGCCCCTTTTTGGGGGGGCCACATTCTCCTCATACATTGCTTGCGGAGTGGGGGTGTCCAGCACTTGGAACCAGGTTAGCAACATGTACATACAAAAGCAGCTGTGTTGCACCAGCACTTTGTCAGCTTGGCCGCTTCTTGGGCCCCAGGCAAAGGTTTTAGGATCTTAGTGCTGAGAAAGGCTCGGAACATCTTTCTGGTAGGGTCCAAATGTCTCTCCGCTCCACTGCAGGTATTTCTCTGTCCGCAAGCATCTGTACAATGGTCCCGGCATGCCAGTCAAACTGTACTTGCCACAGGCTGTTGCCTTGCCTTGCGCCAAGAAAGTGGACTCCCAGCTGTATCAACCAGTCAGGACAGGAGGCCTTCCCTTTTGGTGGCAACTAGTCACGTTGGCAGTACATCAAAGTGGTAATCGCGAGAGTGGTTGCCAACGAGCAGCTGGGGAAAAAAGAAGAAACAAAAACACCTGGAACGCCACATAGATGCTTCGCGCTGGAAAAACTCCACCAGTCACCAGCCTCACCCATGGTATTCCAAACGGGTTGTCTCACCTTTCAGCTTACCTTCAAGACCGACCAGCCAACGTACCCCACCCCCAAAAAAACAACTCCACTGCATCGCATACATAGGGAGCCTGTTGTGTTGCTTATGTCAACTTGTGAAAACGGGGCCTACGCCTTGCCACGGGTTTCTGTCAACAGCTTGGCGCCTTGCTGCCTGGAACTGGTTGCAACCTTCATCTACAGGAGTTGCCTTTAGACAACAAGTGGGAACCCTCTGATTGATCATTCCGGCGCAGGACACGAACCGCGTGGAACCAACGAAGCAACAAAACAAACAATTTTGGAAAGCTGCACGCACAGCCCCTACTGGAACCCCCAATCTCCAAAAGCGAAACGGCAAGGCAACGCCATCCGCGTCATTTCGCGTCAACTGGCCAAAGCAAAAACTTGGCGCATGTCCATGAGATAACCGACACGCCCCAGGGTAATTGGCTCTGGTATCCATTATCCACTGTTTGTTTTTTGAATGGGCAACGGGCAAAAAAATACTCTGGTGTTATTGGTTTCGCAGGTTCGTGCATCTCGGTCTTGGGTAGGCCGCGCTCTGTTTTCGGGGGGTGATATGGTCGGTTGATGATTTACGCGTGTATATATATATATACCCTCGTATGTAAACATATAAATATACATACATACATTATACCCTGAATGGACTCTGGGTTGAATCTGGGTTGATGTGGGTGCTTGGGGGCCCACAGCATAAAACTGTGTACCACATATTATATAGCGCATTTGGTCGATTACCTAGGGGTGCATGGTTGGAATCGTGGCACATGGGCACAGCGCAGGTCTCGTTAAAAGTGGCGTGCTCCTGTGAGCAAGCGCCGGAGCTGCCAGGGGGATTTGTGTCTTGGACCAATGGGCGGTTCAAACCAAAAACCATGCAACAAATGGATGTGCGAAACTGGCTGGGTACTACAGCGCCAGTTTTTGTGTGTCAAGCTGCCTTTCTTTTTGGCAATTCAGGTAAACAACTCATACAGTAGTGCATTTAGAATCCGGGCACAAAGTTGCGTCGTGCCGTTGGCAAGTTTCTTAACAAACGAAAGAACACATATATTCCCTTATGTGTTTTGCCATGACATCTTCGTTGCACTGCGGAAGCAAGCGGCAAAATGCATGGACACACAGCATGGGTGCTGCTGCCCCCGGTCACAGTCCCATGTTCCCATGACAAAGCCCGTCATGAAGCCCATCCAGCACAAGTGCCAATGTCCACTGGTGTGTGGGGGGCTTCATTATTCCCTGCCATGCTTTTGTTGCCCCCTCCTGTCGGCAGAGTTGCACCATGCGAACTGATATTTGGGGGTTCACTCATTTGTGGCAAGCGCACAGTGCCCAAGAAGCACCCTGCCCAAATGCCTGGTTTTCGCTTGAACTACCCAACCCTGGCGAACTGGCTTCATGCCTACAATACTCGGAGAAGTTCGTGTCCAGTGCAGCGAACTTCGTCGAGTCCCCGCTTCAAAGGTTGCCCATGACCGACCTCGGTCTGTACTACCGAGGAAAGGCTTTACAAAAACAACGGCACGAAGGCGCCGTTGTAGCCCTCAAAAGGGGCTAATCTGTTCCTTGGCCTTCTCGAATTAGCCTGAATTTCTCCAGAAGCACGCCTTTCAGGCGCGGGAGTTGCGAATTATCCCCCTGTGCTTCGCGCGTCAGGTCGGCAAGCTGCACCTAGCGCGCAAGCACCCAAGTAGCCCATGCCCGCCGTCACACCCACCGAGCCAGTGAGTTCATTTGTTCGAAGGGACTAAGATGAGGCTGTCCAAGGAAAAGTGCAAATCATGGTGGCGCCCACGGTCCAACAAAACAGGCCGGATTGTATGCTTGTTGATCATGCTCATCGGGCAAGAACCTACGGAGAATCTTGGACAGTCATGAGACCCAAGTCTCGCGCATTTGGGCGTACACAACATGGCCATAATATTATATATATATATATGTATGTATACTCCCCATGGACAAACCTTCTAAATACATATATATATATATATACATTATAGTGTGTTTGAAGAACAAGCAACAACACAACCACTCTGTTGTTCTCTTGTGCCCCTCAAATGGTTGTTTTCCTAGTGGTTTCCCTCCAAAACCACCAAACACGGGGTATCCTCCAAAAAAAAAAACACACCCATACGGGCCAGGCCGAACATTGAATCACATGTTCAATCAAGAAAGCAGGACAGCAAGGCGCCACAAGACGTACACCTCAGCATTGCTCGTTGCCCCGGTTCGCTCCATATCCCGAGGACAAACACGCAAAGTCCTACACCCACTGGGCAGTGTGCAAGCGGCATGCTAGACCCAGGGCACCTGCGGAACACCATCGGGAATCACTCCCACTTGGAGCGCCTGACTCTTGAGCAACCATATCTGATATTTAACCAGCCTGAAATTCCCCACATAAACCACCATTTGGGGTGAGGTCGTGTGAGGTCGTTATTATTCACCCAGACCATATTCTGCAAAAAGTTGCTCCGAGAGCAGAACCGGTTAGTGCCACACTGCTGATGATGGTGTGTTCCTTCTGCTCCCTTTCTCAGATATCAATGTGCCTGGTGGATTGACAAAGCTGCTTCCCCAGCGATCCGGATTCCCTATAAAAGGGAAAATTCCCATTACTCAAAACCCAGTGACTGATTAGTAAGTACCCTATTGTCTGAAAGGGAAACCACATGAAAACCGCTAACCACCATGTCAAAGCGGGGTCCGGACCATTCTGACGCATATCAGCCCATCCGTCCTCACTGAAGCTGGCGCGCCTCGGACAGGCAAAGTCGGTCCATGAAGTATCAAATTTGTAAATAATTACAATAGTTCACCAAAGGAACACAAGGGGACCGTCCCCTTCAACCTTGATCTGGGCTGGGATTTGTGCTGACATTGTTTGGAAGAAAACCCCACTTTGGTGAGGCAATCCCCCCTAAGTGGTGTCTCCATGATTTGACCAAATGCACGGTTGTTCTGCACAGGTTTCCTAGCAGCCCTAAGAAATGAAACTTTAGCCCAAATGGCAACTGATCTGGGCTGCCCTCAGATCCCCCGCTAAAAGTTTAACTTTTAGTGGGTTTAAATGGAAACTACCACTAAACACTAAAAGGCTAAAAAGCTAAGGGGATGGCTGGGAGCCACCAACTGATCAAACCCGCGAGTGGAAATGAACATTCACGGATTCACGGATAGTCTGTCATGGAGCGAAACTGTTCCAAATCTTGCATCGATTGGTCAATCGCAGCAGGGGACCTGACGCATCCTATCAGGATCTAGCGATCATCACAAAGAGGCCCAGCGCAAACCACACACATCATTTATAACCACCACAATCCTCACATACGGTTGCCACATTAAGGAGCATGTTTTTTTTGCCTAGACATGGGTGCACATGTTTTACACATGTACTTGGTGGGTGGCCCAAAAAAAAAACACAACACCAATCCGCTATTCCTCGCACGCTTCAAAGTGCCCCTTTCTCCCCGCGCGCGGTGTCACTGTACAAACCCCGGTGCTGCGAGTCGGCATGTTAAAAGCTTTCTGGCCACCGGCCATCTGCAGCCTCGAACGTTTAAGCAACTTTGGACCAATTGAGATCACGGACTCCAAGAGAGCTATCTTACGCTGGGGGTTCCTTCCAACTTGTGATTCAAAGAACGTGTCCGAGTTCTCCGAGTTCCATCGGCTCAAACGCCTCGCTCGGCCTCGCTTGCAGGCAGAAAGGCTGGGAATTGTTATGCAAGGCCCCGCAGCTGCAGCGCTGTTCGCACGGCCTTGAGGAGAGGATGCGAGTTGCCTGAGCCATGCCGGCCATTGGGGGTGGCTGTCACTCACACGACGTGATTCGCTGATCGTTTTGGGAGTTCAATGCTTTTTGTTTCTCCGACGGATAAGTTTGTTGATTTCTTATGCAAGGCAGTCAGCGGGCCACAACGAGTGTAGGTGCGTTCCCAATAAGTCAAAGCCCATCATTCAGGTCTGTGCAGTGCTGAAGCGCGACTCTGCGCAACATTAAGCCTTTGAATGTGAGTGTGTGGAGCATTGCATAGGCAAAATGGTTGGGCAAAAACGCATGCCTTCTGACAGCTTCCCAAATTAAGACAAACGGCAACAGCTGGGAATGTCTGATCTGTGCCTTTGTTCTGCGATGTTTGTAGCCACTTCACGCTTGAAAGGGAGCAGCATTTTTTTGAAACAGAAGTCAACCACAAACGGCACAAACCAAGGCATCTGTACACGCTAAACGCCTTTGCTTACATCTCGGTTGCCGACAGTGCGCGAAAAGGAGGTCCCACTTCGGATACAGCAAGCCCAAAGCGCCCACCTCGATTGGCCCCATAGGTTCACCGTTCTCAAAGCCACCTGCTGGCTTTGATAGTGATAAGTGAAAAAAACAATCAAAACACATACATAGCAACATCTGACCGAATTTTCAAAAGGCATAGCGGCATAACACATCAGGGCATATCAGGGCTGCCTATGGAAGCAACCTACGCGGCCCGGCGGGCACAACTCCCCCCTCCAGTAAGGTCGCTGCAATATGCCAAAACCAGCATGGCCCGAGCAGTGTGAAAATTGTTTTTTTTTTTGTTTTTTCTTGTGGGGGTGGTAACTTTCTTGGAGTGTTTGCACGGGAAGCCAAAGGGAACTTCAGGGGTCCCCCTATTCGTAAAACTGAAAGTGGAAGGCCTTCCCAATGACTAATTCAAGCCTGCAGTGTGTAGGCTGCCACACTGCGGGTTCAGGCACTTTGGTTAATCTGGAGAAGATCCAACCTCATCCAGCAAATAGACTACTCTGACTCCGGAAGTGAAAAAGCCCGGAATCCCTTAGGCACTTTCAGCATTACGCCCGAGCTCGCCTAAAGTGTCATCCCCGGTCTTCAAGCTCACACCTCCAGTGGCCATGTGGCAAAAAACCAGCGCCCCTGTCTGATTTCAAAGGACAACCCCTCCAAAACTCCCCCAGAAATGGACAAAGGGCACCGGAGGTGCATGAAATATACTAGGTTTTCCAGTAGCGAGGTTAGAATAAGGGTACCCGATTTGTTTGCTGTAGTAGTAAGGGAACCGAACCTCCCCAAAAACAAGGAACGGTAGAGACGGGCACCAATTGCTGGGGGCCTACAGGCATCGCTCTTGCGTCGTGGGTTGGCCGAAGGGCCCAGCTTCTCCCCGGGCAACTCTTCGGGGATCTGCTCCTGGAACTTGTCCTTTTTGGGAAGCGCAGGGCCCACCACCAGCTGCAAGTCGATGGCTTGCTCCTCTTGCTCCTGCCACCCCAACCTGTTCAACCTGTTTGGAGAGGTCGGGGGGGGGGGGGTCTATGGCCATGTGAAAAGGGTCCAAGGAGAACCCCCTCAAGAGAACCAAAGGGTGTGACTGAAGGTCTGACTCACTTTTACCCTCCTGTCCACGAACGTGAAACTGTCTTCCAGCTACGGTCAGCTTCCATGCTCCAGTAGACAGGAGGGTACACGTAGTACACCAAGCGAGCCTCATGGCACCCCAGGATTTATTAACCCGAACCTTACTTAGTTGGGCGACTGAACTACCAGCCCTAGTGTTCTTTTCTTGTAGGGGAGGAGGGGGTAAGGTGGATTCCTTGAATCTTGCAAGTTGTCCAAGAATCGAATTGATGCATGAACCTCAGGTTGATGAATAGGGGGATGCGCCGGAAGCTGTGTTTTGGAGAAACGCGGCACTGTTAACATGTCAGATCCAGGCACTGTCTTCCCGGGAGGCTCAGACCGATAGATGCAGTCGTCAGTCGTTACAAGGCAACGCGTGCAGTACAGTCCAACAGAAGGCTTCAACCGGAATAAGTTTGGAAATTTGTAAGCTCTTCTTCCACGGGGGCTTTACCTTCTTTTGACTTTTGGCCGCACCTTCGGATTGAATCTCAATGGTAGGCTTACGTGTGCTACTACAATCTTCAGAGTATACCAGTTCTAAAGTTTGATCCTTCACTCTTTTCACAAAATACGTGGCGTTGAAGAACGTCGAGTGCTTTTCCTGTATAGGGAAATCGCTGCTTTCCAGGTTGAACTAGTCCCTGTCAAGTGAACAAGTTAAGGAGTTCTCCAAATTATTTGGGGTGGTTCCCTCATCAAGCACCATGCAAAGGGTAGCGAGGATGCCACTTTAATGGATCCACTTAAAGCGCCCGTGCGGTCACATTGCCTTCCAGGCACCAGTCTGGTTTGTGCTCCCCGCACGACCTTTCTGCGATGCCGAAGTGGGATTCCCATCTCAGCCGCGAAGCGAAATCCCTTCACTTCATCATATCACCTGATAATATCACGTTGATGCCTTGCGCACAGTGAAACTTTCACTGAGATTTCTGTCATAAACCCCTCTAAACTGTAAAAAAAAAAGGTCAGGGTTTGGGACTGGCAACCTCAAGCCCACTTTTCCAGCGACTGCCATACTCGCCCCCCCCCCCCGCACCTCTAGGCTGCGGAAGCGCTTCTCATCCACCTCCTGTGAGCTGAAATTTGAAAACGTCGGGGCGACTCAACCCCAAGCCACCTGACAACCATCTGGAGTGGATTGGTCAGAAAAAGTACATAACTTTATAACCCGT